TTTCCTACAACCTCCTCCAGCCCTGCACGGCTCCCGGCGCCGGTCCCCTTTTGGGGCGCGGGACCCCGGGCTTCAGCCGGGTCTGGCCTGGGATCCCAGTACGGGTCCGGTTCCACTTCTCACCTGCCTTCCGGTCTCTTGGCTTCTGATTGCCTTGTTTTTCCCGAACTGGGCGGGGGCCTCGCGGCGCTTGCCCCAGCGGCTGCCCTGTCATTATCCCTCCGAACCGGCAGAGTCACCGGAAGGAGTTAGAGTCTTGGTGTGGAGGCCTGGAGTGGGTAGGATCCCGGAGCCAATGCGGGATCTCCTGACATTCTCCCCGGGTCTGCAGCGAGGGAGCCCAGAGTGCCCCCTCCCACGCCAGGTTCACAGCAGGATTCCAAGGAGGGTTGGTTAGAAGAGTGAGGACTGTTGGAGTCTCAGGTTTTGTTCAGTTAGTGTTGTATCCTGTGTGTTACTATGTGGCCCCGGGCTACAGCGAGAACAGAATATTACCATAGACCATGCCAGATGTGCTTCAGTGGGAAGCATCTTCCTGGCTTTGCTTAAAGCTGAAGGAGTTGGGTGTACCTGGCCAGCCTTTCTGGACATGAACCATGAGAGTCAGGGATCCTTCCTATTTCTGGGGGATTGTAGCTCAGTGGTAGAGCACTTGACCAGCATGTATGAGTTCCTAGGCTCAAGCCATTGTTACACGGCTTGGACTGGGTTTTTATTGAAGTCTGCCGTCAGTCTAAGAGGTAAGCACCTTTCATGACTTCCTTCATTTTATGCATCAGAACACTGAAGCTCTGTCACTTGCCCAGAGGGACTTCTCAGTCCTAGGCTCTCCTCAGTTCACAAGTTTCCTTCCTTTCCTTCTCTTCCTCTCCCCTTCTCGTCTCATGTCGTTTGTTTGTTTGTTTGTTTTTCAACACAGAGTTTCTCTTTGAAACAGCTTTAGCTGTCCTGGAACTCGCTGTGTAGACCAGGCTGGCTTCGAACTCACTGAGATCCGCCTGCCTCTGCCTCCCGAGTGCTGGGATTAAAGGCGTGAGCCACCACTGCCTGGCTTCATGCCTTTTTTTCCCCTCCCCCTCTTCCTCATGCTTCCTTCGGCCTCCCTCTCCTTTACATTTTCTGAACCTTTGTTGTGCAGCTGGTGCGTGAGAGTAGGAAATACACAAACGGGGAGAGGAGAGGGACTTTCTTGAAGAGCAGTGTTTAACAAGGATAGTGATGCCTCTTCTCCAGGAGCGTGCTCCTGGGGACAGGAGGAGGAGGTCATGCAGTTTAGAAATGGGTCGTGGTATCTCTAGCAGGTATTGTGGTGGAGAAGGATTCCTTAGAGGAAGAAACGCTGTGCGTAGGTACCTGGGACTCTGTGGACCTGGGGTAGGAGACGGAAGTTAGGAGAGTGTTTCTTGGGGGTCCTTGGGACCTTGTCTCTGTGAATTTGAACTTGATTCAGTAGGAAAATGGAACCTGCATCTGCTTTGGTGGGAAGTGCCTCCCTGGTGTTGCTTGGGGTTGGAGAGGAGTGGGATATTTCAGGAGCTCTGTCTCCTGGCCAGCCTTTCTGGAAATGAACCATGAGAGTCAGAATCCTGCAGACTGAGGGATGTTAGCCTGGTGGTAGAGCACGTGACTAGCGTGTATGAGCTCTCAGGCTCAATCTTTGCTATCGAGAAAAGAGCTGGGAGGGCTGTTCACACCCAGTCCCTGCTCGCCTTGTTTCCTTCCTAACCTGGTAGAAGGGAGTGAGGGGTTCCACAGTGGCCACGATATTAGCCCCAGTTCATAGACAGCCTCAGACAAGCTGACTCACTGGCCCAAAGACACTCAACCCTACTTTAAAGTAGGGACAGTGTTCTCTACTGTGTTGTGAGGGATGACAGTGTATGGATATGTGATGAACTGTGTTGGCCCATTCAGAGCCTACATGGGGGCATGGGGCGGGGGAAGTCCAGTAGGATATCTGTGGCTGGCAAACAAGAGGACTTTTTAGGCACAGCTCTTACCTGGACTGTGTGTGAACTGCCGTGTCAGGTAATTGCTCCCCAAATTGGCTATGCTGATGTCTTCTGCACCAGCCACTGAGGCCAGGGAAGAACTTTCCATTTATCCTCTGCCCCATACTGGAGCTGTCAGACAGTGACCCGGGGCACCCTTACCTCCAGCTCTAGCAGCTATTCACGTAGGTTTGAGAGTTGGGGCTTCCTGAGAAAAGGAGCTGCCCTGCTTCCTCTCCCTGGCCTGATCATCGCAAGCTCAGCAGTCCTGGGTCCAGCCAGAGCTCTTTGAGGAGTCCAGAGGCATAAGTGGGAACTAAGAAGATCTAAGAGCGAGTCCATCTGGATGAGGAAGCACCCTCTTAGCACAGTGACAAAAGGGGAAGCCATGGCAGCCTCCAGTGGAGCCTCTCCCTTGGGGGTTTGACTCTTTTACTTTCTGGCTGGGTGGCCCTGACAGATGACTTCCCTACTGTGGTCTCAGGTCCCTCCCAAATATGTTGGTAGTGTTCTATTCGAATCAGTCTGAGGACAGAATGTGTGATTCAAGCCAGGACTGGAGGAGATGACCGGGGCCAGGGCTTGCCCTCCCTCCCTTCTCTGGTTGTCATGCATACCGAGTGACAGTGTCCTACTCTGTGCAGGTGGCAAGGAACTGTGAGGACTCTTTCTTCCTGCTCCTTCAACCAGCCAGACTCTGGGTGTGGGCTGTGGCTTCCTTGCAGGTAGGTATCATGCATGTCTTTCAGGCTTTGGGAGGGACATGGGCCCCAGCTTCATATCCGGGTACCTGGGGAACCCTAGGAACCACCTTCTCATTCACACATGAAAGATGCATAGGGTAGCTTCCCTCCAGAGAGGCCTGGCCTCAGAAACCTTGTCCAAGTATAGGAATGACAAATGAATGGAAGCCTCGCCTGGTGGTTCAGACCTGTGATCCCAGCACTCAGGTGTCTGAAGCAGGATTGAAGGCTTGCGTAAGGCCAGCTTGGGCATTTGTGAGACCCTCTTGAGATGCAAAGTTTTAAAAAAAAAAATGCTGGGTATGCAGGACAGTTGTTGACCTTGTCCAGCACATACAAGGCTCTGGATCTGACCTCTAAAATAGAAAAAATACCTATATGTTCACAAGTTGTTTCAGAAGGTACTGTTGGCATACAGGCCCACCCCCTCTACCTATGAACTCATTTAACTGTCACGGCAACTATATGAAGTAGGGCCTGTCATTATCCTCACTGTGTAGACGACAGGGCCAGTTGACACCACAGGATCTTGAAAGGGGCTAGATCCGAAGGCTGAAGACCTCCTCTTTCCCTTTTTATAGAACGAACCTTCATCAGCCTCCCGAACTGTGTCTCCATACACCTGCGCCTTCTCCCCTGCTGGGACCCTCCCTCTGCAGCTATGGTCTGGAGGACGCTGGGCGCAAGCAACTTTTCCATGTGCCCCAATGGCTCCATCCAGTGGATCTGGGATGTGTTTGGTGAATGTGCTCAGGATGGCTGGGATGAAGCCAGCGTGGTCCTGGGCTTGGTCTCCATTCTCTGCTTTGCCGCATCCACCTTCCCGTGAGTATACACGCCTGTGTGACAGGAGCAGGTGGGGTTGGTAGCCGTCCATGCACGGCACAGAGGGTTTGGCTGGCTGGTCGTTGGCCTGTCTAGATTCCAGACCAGATATACTCCCTCCCTCCCTGATCACATTCACTGATGGCCAGCCCACTCTGAAGACGGGAGGCTGCATAGCACAGGTCAGACCTCACGCTGAGTGATGCTGATGCTAAAATAACATTTTCTACCATGTATTGAGTGCCCACTGTATTCTTGGCCCGTGTCCAGGTGCTGGTGGGGTTTACCTCCTTTGATCCTCATAACAGCCCCATGACACAGGCAGAGTTCCTTTCCCTGTTTTACAGACAAGACGAGGGCTAGGTAATGTGCTTTTCATTCATTGCCCAGTTAGAAAGAGATGGGGTTGGAGAGTGGGAGGCCTGGGATGCTTTAAATATGGCTGTGTCCTTCCAGTGAAGACAGGTTGATGGTGAAGACGGAAGTAGGGGCTACAAAACCATGTGGCCGTTGCTGGGCTGGGGGATAAGGATGTCACTGCACAGGGGTCCAGAGTGTCCACACTCAGCTTTGCTACCTAATGGCTCTGACCTGGGTGGATCACTGCCTTGCTCTGGGCCTTAGATCTCATTTACCCAGTATGTGTACAAGCTGGAAAGCTGGCATAGTGCCAGTGTCCAATTACATGCCGCATGAAAGAGAGCCCCTGGCCACTCAGCAGAGGCAGGAAGGGCCGCAGCCAGGAAGAACTTGGGGGTATGAGCTACTAGCAGGCAGGAAACAGCTGGCCAGGTGTGTGAGAGAAGGAACCACTACTGTCATGCCTGGCTGGGCATCGTGGAGGGTGAAGCAGGCAGAAGCGAAGTCAGGAATTCACTGAGGGCTCTATCATCTAAGGCTGTTGTCACTATTTTAAAAATTGCTCTTGGACTGGGTGTGGTAGCGTACATCTTTAATCCCAGCACTCAGGAGGCAGAGGCAGGCAGATCTCCAAGGCCAGCCTGGTCTACAGAGTTCTAGTACAGCCAAGGCCACACAGAGAAACCCTGATTCAAAAAACAAAGACAAACAAACAAACAAATTGCTCCTGGGCTGTGGAGATGGCTCAGTGGTTAAGAGCATTTACTGTTCTTGCAGAGGACCTGTGTTTGGTTCCTAGCATACATGATTGCTGCTTCTAACTGCAGTTTCAGGAGATCTGACATCCTCTTCTGGCCTTGCACCAGGGACACACATGGTGCACATACATCATTCAGGCAGAAAAACTAAAAATAAATCTTAAAAAAAGAAAAAAGGATGCTTGTTGGCTGTGGAGATCCCTCAGTGTAAATTGTTTGGTATTTCATCATGAAGATCTTAGTTTGATCCCCAGAACTCTTATAAAGATGGATATAGTGGGTCATATGTGTAATCCTAGTGTTCCCAGTGAGGTAGGAAGCAGAAATGGGAAAATCCTTGGGAGCTTGTGGGCCAGCTGGCCTGGCATGTACAACTGTGAACAAGAGACCCCACCTTAAACAAGGTGGAAAGTGAGGGTTAAGGCCAAAGGTTGCCCTCTGACCTCCATGTGCATAACATGGATCCTGTATACCCCACCCCCTTTCCAGTCCCCGGGAGGCTGAGGCAGGAGGATCAGGAGTTCAAGGCCAACCTGGCTTATCTAGGGAGATCCTGTAACCCTGAACTCCTGATCTTCCTGCTTCCGTCTCTGAATTTCTGGGATTACAGGGGTAGCCACCACTCCTGACTGTCTTTTCATTTTCTTCAAAAACAAAATTACATGTTTGGTTATTTTGCTTACATGTATGTGAGTGCACCCACCACATGTGTGCTTGGTATCTGGTGCCCAAAGACGGTGTCTGGATTCTTTGGAACTGTGGTTTACAGATAATTGTGAGACTCCCTGTGGGTGCTGGGAACTGAATATGGGGCTTCTGCAAGAGTCTCAAACTCAGAGAGCTCTGCTTGCCTCTGCCTCCTGAGTGCTGAGATTAAGGGCGAGTACCAACACTGCCCAGCTATTTATTATTAATTAGTTAATTAGTTAGTTAATTTTGAGACCTAGTCTCACTGTCTATCCCGGCAGTTTGAAACTCTGTAGACCAGTCTGTCCTCAAATTCATAGGGATCCACCTGGCTCTCAGTTTCTTTCTTTTTCTGGATTAGCTTTTACATTTTCATCTTATTATTTTATATGTGTGGATGTTTAGCCTGCATGTGTGTCTGTGCATCCCATGTGTGTAGTGCTCTTAGAGGTTAGAAGAGTTGGACTTGGAAGTCTCGGGCAGTTGTGAACCACCATATGTAACTGTCAAGAGCAAGACTGGAGAGCCAGGAGTAGAGGCATACACGGAGAGTTTGAGGCCAGCCTGGACTGTCTGAGGCCTTGTCACAAACAAACCAACAGCGACAATAGCAACAGAGCTTCAAGGCTAGAGGCTCTGGCCAGGCGTAAATCTTACAAGTGACACAGCCATCTCTGTCCCCAGTGTGCAGGATCCTAATAGATCTTCATGTCCTTGTGTTGGGACTCAAGGAGTCAGTACCCACAGGGGCTGAGGTCTGTGCCGAGACCCCTTCTCAGCAGTGGTTCACAGTACATTTGGCTTCATACCCAACCCAGCCACAGCATGTAGGGCGTTAGGGAAGATAGCTAGGGAACCAGAAGCCTGTGAAACAGCTGCAGGAGCTTGGCCACCTTCTCTGCTGTGCCCTGTGAGTGACCAGGCTGTAGGACTGCATGTCTTACCTCAGTGGCTCCTAAAGAGGGCCAGGCTTCACACCCACCTCAGCTGCCCCACCCCTGCTTTCAACTCCCACCAGCCAGATTTTAAAGATGTGTTTCTCAAGGCCGGACATATGTTTAGAAACCTGTACAGACCCTTCATCCCTTCTGGAGCCCCCAGGGTGCACTGGGGGAGAATCTAAATAAGGCTGTGAATCTGTCTGGAAAGATACAGCTGCTGTGCTCCTGAGCTAGTAAGGGTTCCCACTGGTAAAATTCCAATTGAAGTTCTGGGTCTCAACCTAAGCGCCGGGGCTATCACTTGCCCATCGATGCCCCAGTCGTACTGTTACTATTAAGGTCTTCTTTTTGGCCTTTGTGATTTCTGTTTGTTTGTTTTTCAAGACAGGGTTTCTCTATACAGACTTAGCTGTCCTGAAACTTGCTCTGTAGACAGGCTGACCTCAAACTCACAGAGCTCTGCCTGCCTCTGCCTCCCTAGTGCTGGGATTAAAGGCGTGGGCCACCACTGCCAGGCTCTTATTGGCCTTTTAAGTGGCTTCTTAGGCCTCAGCCTCTGAGCATGTGTCCCCTCCTCTTCCACAGCCAATACATCAAGGCCTGCAAGACAGGGAACATGGACCAGGCTCTATCGCTGTGGTTCCTTCTAGGCTGGATCGGTGGAGATTCCTGCAACCTTATTGGCTCCTTCCTTGCAGACCAGCTACCCCTGCAGGTGGGTGGGTCCCAGGCACAGTGGAGCAGCTAAGGACAAGCGGGAACAACTGTGGGAGGAGAGGCAGTGGCCTCCAGTCTGTCAGCCAACACTCCTTGGCCACCATGCTGTGTAACCATGCTTGAGTCAGGGTTCTGTTCAAGTCTCAGTTATCCCATTTGTCATGCAAGCATACCACACCACAGGGGGCTGTGGTTCTTAGGGATTGGGGGCCCAACTAAAATTTTTGAGTGTGGGGCCCTCTGAGTAGGAAATGGTGTTTTCCTTGGGAACCACAGACATCATTCTGTGGCCAGCAGGACTAGGGTCAGTCAGGAAGAACTTGGCTGTTCTGTCTGGACTCTGGCACTCGATGCTTTGTTGGACTGTCCAGGTTGTATTCTGGACCCCTTGTCCACCTGATTCCTCATTAATCTAGGTAGGAACTGGGAGCCCTCTGTTCAGTTGAGGAAACAAGAGGGTCAAAGAGGTGGTGTGACCAAAGCTGGTCACCAGATGGGGTGCAGTGGCAGGCGAGGGGCAGGGGCTGTTGCATCAGGGTTAGGACAGCAGCCAGTGCCTGGGTCTGCTTCTCTTTCCCAGACTTACACGGCTGTGTACTACGTCTTGGCCGATCTCATGATGCTGACCCTGTACTTCCATTACAAGTTCAAGAACCGGTCTTCTCCGTGTGAGTCCAGGGGTCACTCTGGGTCGGGCTCTGCTGGCCTTGGGAGGCCTGGGAACTCAGTTGAAGCAGGCTGAGGTGGAGACATGTGCAGATACGAGACACCCCGCTTGCTCTCTCCTCTCTTTGGCTCAGAGCCAGAAGGAGGATGAGTCACGGTGCAGACCCCAGGACAGAGTGCTGATGCCTCTGCCCTGACTGTCTTTCCTTTGTATCCCTAGGAAGAAGGGTACTGTTGTATCCCCATTCTACAGATGAAGGACTGAAGCTCAGAGAGGCTAGGTCACTTGTCTAGGGTCACACAGCTACTGAGAAGCAAGGCTGGGACTCCCATCCCAAGCTGTCTGCTGTCACCTAATTTTGGCTTCTCTCTTCCTCAATCCAGTGTCTGCCCCTATCAACTCTGTGCTCTTGTTCATCTTGGGGACGGTGTGTATCACACCACTCTTACGCGTTGCTGATCCTGTGGCTGTCTCCAGGGAAGGCTTCCGGGGACGGACACTCTTGTCTGTGGAGCCAGGCAATAAGGTCAGGCATGGGTCTGTGGAGGTAACATGGGTGGGCTGACTCTCATTCCCCTGCGTGGTCAGATAGATGTCAAGTTGTGGGGACTACTCACCCTCTTGGGGAGAATGCTCCCTAAAACTCTCACCAGATAGTGAATGCCCCCTTCCACACCCCCTCTAGCCCTTTACAAAGAAGGAGGTCATCGGCTTTGTCATCGGCTCGGTCTCCAGTGTGCTGTACCTGCTCTCAAGGCTGCCTCAGATCCGCACCAATGTGAGCTTTCGGTAGGGGTGTGGGCCACGTGGAAGGAGGGCTGGCAGGCTAAGCAGTGGTGTGGTGCAGGAATGTTTGTTCAGAAGCTGTCGACCACATCAGCTGTTGATGTGGGCAAAGTCACCCAGCTGCCAAGTTGGCCCCATGACACGTGCTGCCGATGGGTGCATGAGGCTGTGTCTCAGTAACATTGGAGGTTGTACGAGGGAGAGTGGACAGGAGGTGATGAGGACCCCAACTGGAGGCTTGCCTGGCAGGAGGAATCCGTGAAGGTTACAGAGCCAGGGGCCAGGAGGCAGAGGCAGCTATGATGTCTGAGGTCCTGGAAGAAGTGCTTGGAGTTGGGATTTGGAGTTGGGCACTGGATAGGGCTGTTTTGGGTGCCAGACCCATGCTGAGCAATGGGCACACAATGAAAAACCAGCTCAGCATATGTACCACACAGGGCACACACACGGACAGTTACAATCCAGAGTGATAAGAGCCTCTCTAGTTTTGGGGACAGGGCTGTCTCTCTCTCTAAGACTGACCCCTAGCTGGCTATATAGTCTAAGCTTGGCCTTGAACTCATGACCCTCCTGCCTTAGCCTCCCAAGTGCTCTGGTATTGTAGATAAGCGCCCTCTTTGAGATCTCTGATATCACCTCCCTCCACCCCCAGTTCCTACGGCAGTCAACCCAAGGCATTTCCTACTCACTGTTTGCGTTGGTGATGCTGGGGAACACACTGTACGGGCTGAGTGTGCTGCTCAAGAACCCTGAGGTGGGCCAGAGCGAAGGCAGCTACCTGCTGCACCACCTGCCCTGGCTCGTGGGTAGCCTGGGTGTGCTGCTGCTGGACACCATTGTATCCTTTAAGTGCGATGTTGGCAAAGTCATGTGGGCAAGGCAGTCTCTGCTTTAGTGTGCATATCCCTGCCAGTGCACCCTCTGTGCGTCGTCTGCCAGTCCATCCGTCCATTATGTATTCATCCACCTGTCCGTTCACCGACCCATCCTTCCATCTACAAGCCAGCCTTTCCTCCATCCTCCATTCACGCGTTTCCAACATCATCCACCATTCATTCATCTGTCCATTCACCCCCCACCCACTCACCTGTCTACCTCTCCATCCCTCCATCCACCCCTCCATCCACCCCTCCATCCATCATCCCTCCATCCCTCCCTCCATCCCTCCCTCCCTCCATCCCTCCCTCCATCCATCCCTCCCTCCATCCATCCCTCAATCCCTCCACCCATCCCTCCATCCATCCCTCCCTCCATCACCCATCCCTCCATCCCTCCCTCCATCCATCCCTCCCTCCATCCATCCCTCCATCCCTCCCTCCCTCCATCCATCCCCCCATCCACCCATCCCTCCATCCATCCATCCCTCCATCCCTCCCTCCCTCCATCCATCCCCCCATCCACCCATCCCTCCATCCATCCATCCCTCCATCCCTCCCTCCCTCCATCCATCCCCCCATCCACCCATCCCTCCATCCATCCATCCCTCCATCCCTCCCTCCCTCCATCCATCCCCCCATCCACCCATCCCTCCATCCATCCATCCCTCCATCCCTCCCTCCCTCCATCCATCCCCCCATCCACCCATCCCTCCATCCATCCATCCCTCCATCCCTCCCTCCCTCCATCCATCCCCCCATCCACCCATCCCTCCATCCATCCATCCCTCCATCCCTCCCTCCCTCCATCCATCCCCCCATCCACCCATCCCTCCATCCATCCATCCCTCCATCCCTCCATCCATCCCTCCCTCCATCCCTCCATCCATCATCCCTCCCTCCATCCCTCCCTCCATCCATCCATCCCTCCCTCCATCCATCCATCCCTCCATCCATCCCTCCCTCCATCCATCCATCCCTCCATCCATCCCTCCCTCCATCCATCCATCCCTCCATCCATCCCTCCCTCCATCCATCCATCCCTCCATCCATCCCTCCCTCCATCCATCCATCCCTCCATCCATCCATCCCTCCCTCCATCCCTCCCTCCCTCCCTCCATCCCTCCATCCCTCCATCCCCCCATCCCTCCCTCCATCCCTCCATCCATCCATCCCTCCATCCCTCCATCCATCCATCCCTCCATCCCTCCCTCCATCCCTCCATCCATCCATCCCTCCATCTATCCCTCCCTCCATCCCTCCCTCCATCCCTCCCTCCCTCCATCCATCCCTCCCTCCATCCCTCTTGTATTTTTCAAGATGGGTTATTTATTTGTGTAGCACTGG